GCTCACTCTCTCTCTCTCTCTCTCAGAAATAAATAAAAACATTTTTTAAAAACTAAAAAAAAGCTGGTTCTTTGTTGGGGTGCCTGGGTGGCTCAGTAGGTTAAGTGTCCGACTCTTGATTTTGGCTCAAGGTCATGATCTCATGGTTCATGAGTTCAAGCCTTTCATTGCGCTCTGTGCTGACAGTGTGGACCATGCTTGGGATTCTCTCTCTCTCCCCTCTCTCTACTGCTAACTTGCTCATTTTTCTCTCTCTCTCTCAAAATAAACAAACAAACAAAAAAGAATGTTCTCAGATTTAAAAACCCAAAGTATTTTTTTAAGTTGGCTCTTTGTTGATTGAATTTGACTTTAGACCCAACATGAATAATTTAGAAATCGAATGAGCATAATCTGGCTCATCTCTGCAAATAAATAAAATCTAAATTCCAATTATTTTTTTTTTTCTGCAATGGATAGGTCACTTGCAATTGATTTTTAAAATCTTGTGACTGGTTTCACAAATCCAATTAGGCAAAACCATACTTCCTGTAAGGGGAAATCAGACTTGACTAATCTTCATTCTGGCACTAAAAGGAGAATTGCCATGTTCATAAGTGCAGATACATTTTGAATATTAAATGGTAGGGACAGCAAATGATAAGCCATATAGGACATAACCATAACTTATGACAAGGAACAACCATTAAAAAGCACAAAAGAATGATACTAGAAATGAGCCCTTAGCCTTCTCCCACCAAAGTCTTCCACTTGGAAATATCAAAATAGTCTTCTAAAATAACTCCTGGGTGATTATATTTAGAAATTAATGACAGTAAGAGCATCCGTTTCTAATTTATTAAATGTTTATTTTTGAGAGAGAGACAGACAGGGTGTGAGCGGGGGAGAAGCAGAGAGAGGGAGACACAGAATCTGAAGCAGGTTCCAGGCTCTGAGCTGTTAGCACAGAGCCCCACGTGTGACTCAAACCGCGAGCTGTTAGATCATGACCTGAGCCAAAGTCAGACACTTAACTGACTGAGCCGCCCACCCACGTGCCCCAAGAGCATCTGTTTCAAACCCAGCCCGCTTTCCATGGAGTATCTTACAATCTCCAAGGGGAGAATCACAGTGCAGAACTCCAGGCTTTGGAGAAAATCTGTGTCTCCCTCTGCAGATACCAATCTGGAAAAGGACTCCTAGCTTGTCATTGGGCCCCAGTGGAGTCTGGATGCTGGGGGCACTGGACTAAATGTGTGTGTCCCACACCACAATTTATATGTTGAAACTCCAACCCTAGTGGGAAGGTGTTTGATGCTGGGGCCTTCGGGAAGTAATCAGTTCGTAAGTGTGGAGTTCTTGTGAATGGGATTAGTGCCTGTATTAGGGTTCTCCAGAGAAACAAAACTAATGGAGTCTACACAGAGAGAGATAGAAAGAGACTTATTATGAGGAATTGGTTCATGCAATTAAGGAGGCACAGAACTCCCATGATCTGCCAGCTGCAAGCTGGAGGCCCAGGGCGCCAGGTGGTGTTATTCCAACCCAAACCTCAGGCCTAAGAGCTAGGGAACCAACAGTCTAAATCCCCAGTCCAAATCCGAAAGCCAGAGAGCAGGAGGGCTGATAAATAAGGGTAGGAAAAGCTGGATGCCCCTTCTTCCTCTACCTTTTTCTTCTATTCAGGCCCTCAACCTATTGGAAGAGGCTCCCTCACATCAATTCAAGCAATAATCCCTTCTGGAAACAGCCTCACAGAAGCACCTAGAAATAACATTTTACCAGCTATGTGGACATCCCTTAGCCCAGTCAAGTTGAAGATAAAATCAACCATCACAGTGCCCTCATAGGAAGCAGCCTAAACTGGTTAGCTCTCCTTCAGCCATGTGAAGACACAGTGAGAAATCTATCGTCTGCAGCCCACAAGAGGGCCCCACCAGAACCATGCAAGCACCTTGATCTTGGACTTGCAGCCTCCAAAACTGTGAGAAATGAGCGCCTGTTGTTGATAAGCAATGGTATTTTGCTGTGTAGAAGGCCAAACTGACAAAGTCACCTGGCCATGCACGCCAAGGACGTTGTGACCTGAACTTCACAACACAGACTGGATGAAAACTACCAAGCCATGACATTGGACGTGCACAGCCATATCCATCATCCGTGGGAAAGGCAGGTATGAGATTAGACTCAAGCACTAATAGAAGGCAAAGGCATACACCTGGGCAGATGGCTCAGATGCCCATGGCCTCTGCTCCTGATGCTCCTCCCTCCACCTTCACCTACAGGCTTATGGATATTTCCTGTGATCTGTCTACAGAGAAGAGAAATAACAGACCAGGTTTATAGGTGGATCTGTGTGACGGGCTGGTGCCACGCAGTGAGTAGATGCTGGCTTAGCACTGCACCCATGTGGCCCTGAAAGAGAGATGCAGGGAAGCCCTTTAGGCGGCAAAACTTCAAGGCTCCACCTTACGGGACAGAGGGATGTCCTTAGGTCCGCTTGTGCACAGAGCCGTATGAGCCACCTAGTTAAGGACTTGGAAAGAATAAAGGTGTATATATATAAAAAGAAAAGAAGAGAAAGATAAAAGGGATACTGGGGAAGATATGTGGATTGTCCTCTGGGGATAGACACAGAGTGCAAATCTTCATGACCCATGCTGATGCCCGCCAGAATGCATGCACTGAGGAACGGCCACATGCGCGGGGCGGAAGCTCCACACGGTTACCACAAATGGCTAACTCTCCGCAAGGCCGACCTGGGTGTTGACTGTACTCAGTGTCCAAACCAACAGAGACAGAGGCCAATGTGAAGCCCATTATGGTGTCATTCTACAGCAGGACTATATAGGACACACCCCATCGTGGAGAGGACTAAGCTCTATCCTTATAGGATTGACACATACCATGGGTTCCCATTTGCCTTCTTGTACTCAGTGCTTCCGCCAGCCATGCCATCTGGGAACTTAGAAAATGTCTACAGTACCCCATGAGGTAGTGAGGTAACTGACTTACAACTATGGAGCTCAACGACCTTCCCAGGTGCCTCACTACACAGAGATGCGTGGCTCATCAGAATGATGGAATGGCCTACAATGGCTTATGAGGATGCCAGTGAGAGACAGTACCCTGCCATCTATCAGGAATGGGTGTCTCAAACCAGTGTTCAGTCTATCGTGTGACACCCTCCACAGCCAGCATGCAGGGTTCCATGAAACAAGATCAGAATGAGGGAGAGCTCCTCCCACTAGTGCGCCGGATGACCCACTTAAAGAATTCTTGTGGGGTGCCTGGGTGGCTCAGTCAGTTAAGTGTGTGACTTCGGCTTAGGTCATGATCTCACAGTTTGTGAGTTCGAGCCCCGCATCATGCTCTGCACTGGTGGTGCTTGGGATTCTCTCTCTGTCCCTTCCCCACTTGCATGGTCTCTCTCTCAAAAGAAACAACCTTAAAAAAAAAAAAAGAATTCTTGCTTCTGGTCTCTGTGGCCTTGGGATTGATGTGGGTGAGGAACCCACTGTCATTCTAATCAACTGGAAGTCACAACTGCAGCCTTGCCATTTTGTGCTTTCCCACACCGCTGTAACAGAAGGCAGGGTCATTCTGCTGATCGCCAGATGGGACCTGACCACCAGAGGGTGGAAACCGGATGACAACCTCAAATTTCAGTGGCCAGTGGCCCTGGTCAATGGAAGACCGTAGACAGCCAATGAAAATAAGATCATCAGACACCCATGTCTCGTAAGAATGAAGATTTGTGTCATAGCAATGTTTCAACTAGGCTTTGGCAGGTTTAAGAGGATATGGACTGCGTGGGGGAAGAAGGCACTTCTGACTACCACCTGCTGCGCATCCATGACCTTTGCAGCTTTGTTTTACATGATCCTCTCCCCCTATCTTCCTCTCCCCACGGTATTTCAAAAAACAGCTGCCTACCATTGGGAGAGTCCAACTCACGGTCATTAGGACACCACTTTCCTGTGATTAAGTAATGGATGAGAATTGTGTGTCTTCTGCATTGAGGACTCTGGTTTTGGTCCGGACAAAGGAATGGGGTGGATGTGAAGAGGGCAGACTGGGCTGGACACTTGGCTTGCTTCCCCAGATTCCCTCTCCCCTTTTCCCCTCGCTCTGGGCTTTGCCTGGGGTGGGGGGCAGATCTATGGGACCTCCTGCCTCCCAGCTGGGTTCGTCGATAGGAGCTCCTAACAGGAGACCAGAGGGAGGACACTGAGTAAGGCTGGGGTGGTAATTCCTCAGCTGCCTCTCTACAGTGTGATCTGGGTGGCTTTTTTTTTTTTTTTTTTTTTTTTTTTTTTTTTTTTTTTTTTTTTTTTTTTACTGTTTATTCATTTTTGAGAGAGAGAGAGACAGCATGAGCAGGGAACGGACAGAGACAAAGGGAGGCCCAGAATCTGAAGCAGGCTCCAGGCTCTGAGCTGACAGCTCAGAGCCCGATGCAGGGCTCGAACTCACGAACCGTGAGATGATGACCTGAGCCGAAGTCGGTTGCTTAACCGACTGAGCCATTCAGGAGCCCTGTGGGTGGTTTTTCAGCCTGAGATCAGAGCGCCTACCAGGCAGCCCTCTCTAAACTTCCCCTTACCTGCCCTTCTCCCTACAGATTCTAGGAATGGTAATGACTTCACCTTGCCCTTCTTGGGGCTCAGGATGACAACAGACACCCAGGAAACTGCACCAGGCTTTTGTTTCTCTACTCTGCACAAACCCTAAGTCAAGTTCGGCAGGTGGAATGAGCCCCCTTTGTGCCGAGGCCCTGACTGCTCAGAGAGAAGCCTCTTGGGTTGTAGCGCAATGGCTCATCCCGGGTCACGGCGATGCCCAGATACCTTTGGCCGGAACACCTGGATGCCTCCGCTACCACTCAGTCTGGAATGGGGCCCATGCAGCAGACCAGTGAAGGAAGGGCCTGAGATGGTGAGTCACTCAACAGACTCCTGTCCCTCTCATATGAGGCCTCTGCATGTCCTGCCCTCCCCTGTCACGGAGAAACCCCAGCATTCAGGGAAAGGACGATGCCTTTATTGTCAGACACAGGTGGCCACTGCTTGACTCTCTCAGAGGGCAAGTTCAGCCACTCCCAGCTGCTCCCTTATGTTGCTATCGGGTCATCAGGTCTGTGGGTGCGTCGGGGGTGATCATTCATGGAGAGCACAAGGAAACCACTCAACGTCCAAGGCTGTTTGGTTACGAAGGTTTGGTTTAGGGAATCGGCAAGGAGTTAAGAATCCTCGGGAAATGGGGTCAGGAGAGAGGCATCCCACACCAGAGGGCTAGGGATAACCCAAGTCCCACCACCCAAGCCAGGAAGGGGGTGGAGACAGCCCTGTCTTGGAGAAGGGGTTCAAACGGTTCCTCCGAGTTCTCAGCCACAGAGAAGATCCCGATTTTCTGTGTACGATTCAATAAGGAGCTGGAAGCTTGAGTCATGCAGCCCTGAATATATATTTTAGAGCTGACCCCACCTGGAGAGGGAAGATTGAGTCAGAGAGGTTTCAAAGGACAGCGCACTTAAATTCCTAAGACCCACGAATCCCAGCCCCCCTCAGACCAGGAGATCGGGCTTAGTCTGCTCCTCCTCCCACAGAGGCAGACACCCAAGTTCCCAGGCCCCTCCACCCTCAAACCCACGAGTCAGGGCCTCAAGTATCCTCCCAGCTCAGAACCTAGTGGATTGACCCTGCGCGCTTGGCACCTGGCCGACAGCCCTCACCTCCGGAGAGCCTAATGAAACCGCTATAACAGTGAGTCGTGCCGTTAGGGCAGGTGACGTTTTCCAGGTTTTCTGGGCAGGGCTGCAAGGCCTGCACACAGATGGGACACTGCACGTCTCCCGGGGCAGGGGCCGCTGGAAAGCAGAGAGAAGGTTGGGGTACACAGCTCTGCTTCCAGCTGCAGCCACCTTCGCCGATCCCCAGAGTCTCTGTGACCCCAGTCCCTGCGCTCCACCCCCCTGGGATTCCATACCTGGATGAGGGAGAGAGTTCAGTAGGACACTGGTATTTCTGGCTCTGTTGCACCTGTTGGAGGAGCAGAAATGGGCGTAGGAGGCGACCAGCACTCCGGGGGGCCCTGAGTATATGGAGACTGTCGAGCCATCTTGCATCCTGCCCTTGGTGCAGTCTTTGCTCCCCACTATGATTGAGCTCTGTCCTGAGGGGGGAGAGAGAGCAGAAGCTGGGCTGGGGGGTCGGGGGGACTCTGATGAGCCAGGGGCTCCCTGCTGCTCAGCAGGTAGGGGGAGGGTGAGTGCAGGTGCCTCATTACAGGGCGCACAGAGTGTGGGGTGAAGGCTGAAGGCTGGGGCCAGACCCAGCTCAGTGGCCTCTCCATTCTTCCTCAAATGTCCCCTGCTCCGTACAGCCTCCCGAGGGCACGTGTTTTCAAATGGCGACCTTCACCCAGCCTTCCCTGCCTCCTTTTCCCGCTTAGCTTCACTCCCATACCTTACTCCGTTTCGTCTGTGTTTTTCACTGCCCTCCCCCCCGCCCGCCCACTGGCATGTGATGCTGGAGGAAGGTGACATGATGCCAGGTCCACAGTGCCTCAAGCGGTGCCTGGCACACAGCAGGCACTCAATAAATCTCAAGTGCGATCCATGAGGTTACTCTGTGCCTGCTCTGTTCTCAGTCTCCCTCACGTGGACTCTCACGAGGCAGCAAGGGACGTAGTATCTGCCGTCACTTTACCCCCATTTCCAGAAGGAGGAACCCAGGCGCAGAAAGAGGAAGGAAGGCCTTGAGTGTGTGGGGAACCAGGCAAGAAGTTGGGGGACAGGACCCAGGATAGGGCGACTTGGGACCCTGAGCAGGGGTCTTGCCCTCGGGTGCGGCCCACACACCTGCGTCTACCAGCAGCACTGTCTCCTGACACACCTCCTCGGGGTCACAAATCTTGTTCGTAGTTGAGTTCCAATTGATGGGCATCTGAGACAGGCCTCGAGATCTGTATGTGTTGACCCCCTTTTCACAGATCAGAGAAGCTGGGGAGAAGGAGTCAGTAGGGACTGTGTAAGCCAGGGAGTCCACCACATCCTTCCCTCCAGGTCCCGTGAATTCCCAAGCCATTCTCCAGGTGACTCTGGCAGAGTCCCTCAAGCTTAGATCTAGGAGGGACCTCGAAGGTCAGAGTCCAATCCCTGTTCTTCTCCTGAACACCTTCAGGACCCTTTCCCAACAGTCCTTGAGGAAGGCTATTGCTCCCTTTGGGCACAAGGTCAAGGGCTCTTCCTTGACCTGAGTCACACTCGGCTTCCCTCTCTGGCACTCAGGGCCCTCACCTGGATGAGGAGGGCAGTCTGCCCCCCATAGATTTCTTTTAACCGAGAAACCCTACGTTGCAGAGCAAAAGACTCAAAATGCCTGGCGCGTCCTGAGCGTTGGCCACATGCCACGAGCTCCCCTCAGCTGGATCACCTCAGAGGCTCCTCACAGCCACCACCAGCCACCGCCACCCCATTGTCAAGGTGGGAAACAGTGCGCGCCTGGGTGGCTCAGTCAGTTAAGTGTCTGTCTCTTGGGTTTGGCTCAGGGCACGATCTCACGGTTTGTGGGATCGAGCCCTGCGTCGAGCTCCGCGCTGACATCATGGAACCTGCTTGGGATTCCCGCTCTCCTCATCCTCTGCCCCTCCCCCGCTCTCAAAAATACATTAATCATTAAATAAAATTTAAAAAGATGGGAAACAGGCAGAAGCCTTGTTAGGTAGCTTGCCCCATGTCCCACCACACAGGTAAGTGGCACGGCTGAGCTCAGAACCCCGGGGGTTCTGGCTCCTTGGGCAGGTGATGATCCTGGGCTACCTTAGCCCCCCCGCCCTCAGGAGTCCGTTGGAATACCGCGAGCCTAGACCTTCTCTTTGGCCCTCACGTGGCCAGCAGGGATGTGTCCTGTGAAACCCCAGGGCGGTGAGGCACACACGCGTGCCCTTTGCCGCAAACCCACGAGGGAGGCGTGCTCATCTTCCTGCCGCACGTGGCCAGATCGCACTCTGCTGCTGCTCGAGCCTGGTCCCGCTTCTCCAGCTCCCCCCTGCCCTTCTTGGCCCATGACAGCTGCTCCAGTAAAACCACTGGTGTCGTTCTTGACAACTGCCTTTCTCTTGGGTTGCACCCATCAGGAGTCCTGTGGCTCAAGCTGCAAAGTACCTCCGGGACCTGATGGCTTCTCACCGTTTCCACTGCTTCCACCCGGGCCAGGACCTCTCGCTCTCACCTGCTCCTCCCTGGTTCCCCAGCCCCACCACCACCTTCCCCAGCACGCGGGCGGGGCCTCTAAGGGGAAAGTCCATTCAAGTTGCTCCTCTGCTCAGAAGACTCCAAAAGGTCCCCTCCCCTCTCAGAATGAAATCCCTAGTCCTTAAACTTTGACTCCAAAGGCCCATACAATCTAGCCTTAATAAACACTTAGAGGGGCGCCTGGGTGGCTTAGTGGGTTAAGCTGCTGACTTGGGCTCAGGTCGTGATCTCACGGTTTGTGAGTTCGAGCCCTGCATCGGGCTCTGTGCTGACAGGTCAAAGCCTGGAGCTTCCTTTGGATTCTGTGTCTCCCTCTCTCTCTGCCCCTGCCCTGCTCATGCTCTGTCTCTCTCTCTCTCTCAAAAAAAACAAACAAAACAAAAACCCAAAAAACAAAAAACAAAAAAACCAACCCAAAACAAACCAAAACCAAAACCAAACATTTAGATTACTAGTGGGTCCTGGCGCCCAAAGCTGCGCTTCCATCCTGACACTCACCCTTAGGGCTGCAGTCCTCACGCACAACGATAGACCCGATTTCCCGAGTCCCCTTAAGCATGTTGCAGCCTGCTTGGGACATGCATCCTTGGACTCTCAGGATGGTGAAGATGCCCCCTGTGGACAGGGGCGGGCAGGGGGTGAGGGAGGGCGCAGCTGGGGGGCGGGCAGGCCCACCTTCCTCAGGTCCCAGACCTTGGTCTTCAGGCCCCTCCCCCCCCAGGTTCAGCGTCCCACGTCCCTTGCCCCGGGGGGACCTCCTGCCTGGCTCACCTCCCCTGAACTGTATTGAGCCTTGGTAGCAGTGCGTGCTGCCGGCCGGGCAGGTCAGCTCTTTCGCAGACTTGCAGTCGTCTATGGACAAGCAGACTGGACACCGCAGGGAGCCCGGCCCTGGGGAGGGGACAGAGGAGGGCTCTGGATTGGGATAGGGGTCTACTCTCCACCCTGGCTTTGCTGGTCCGGAGGAGCGGCCTCCCCATCCCCCACCAATGTGCCCTCCTAGGTTCCTGTCTGCAGGCACGGGGGGGGGGGGGGGGGTGGAATCAGGGGCAGGAGGTAGGGGAGAGAGCAAGGGAGGGAAGGAACCGGAGAACCCTGGAGGGGTGCCTGGGCCCGAGCACGGGAGGGGGTGTGATGGGGGAGGGGTGTCCTGGGAGGAACCGGTGGGTTCACCCCCAGCTTCCACTAAAGGGTCCAAGGACCCTAGATATCTACGTTCACAAATGATTCCAAAGAGTAGAGAAACACAAAACGTCGCCCCACACCTGACGGGTGATACCGGGCAGGGACAGGAATATAGGGGATGGCACTGTAATCGTCATGTATGGTGACAGATGAGAGTGACCTTTACCGTGGGCACAGCGTGAGGCACAGAGCCGTCCAATCCCTGTGTTGCGTGGCCAAAACTAAAGTCAGGTTGTGTGTCAACTAGACTAAAAAAAAAAAAAAAAAAACCCTAAATAAAACGTGAGTGGACCAAAGTCTAAATGGAAAAAGAAAAAAGAAGGAGCTAGGAGCAGGTGCCAGGTGGAGGCCACGAGAGGTGCTTGGCCACCAGGAAATGAGTGTGGTTTGCTGTTCCTGACCGATGGAAGAAGGGGTGCTGAGGGAGGGAGCCCCACGGGGAGTGGACAGGGAGGAGGGAGGGAGGAGGGAGCTAAATGGACGGTCCCTCTCTGCTGGCTTCCGCCCCTCAGCCCTGCTGCCCTCCCACGCCCCCTGTTCCTCCCGGTCCCCGCCTCCCCGCCCCCCACAACCCCGCACCTATGATGGAGGGCGGGGTCCAGAGCGGGAGGGTGGTGGACAGGTTGTTGCAGTTGTCCTGGTGGCGACACACGTGGGTGTAGGAGAGGACAGAGAGGCCAGGGCCTGCCCTGTGCTCCGTGATGCGGGCATCCTGATCCACCACCGGGGTGCAGCCCTTGTTGAATACTATGTACACTTGGGGTCCTGTGCCAAGAGAGAGAGGCAGGCCCTGGACTCCTGGGTCTGAGGGAGGAGAGGCTGGGGGCCTGGCCTCCTGGGTCTGAGGGAGGAGGGGCTGGGGGTCAGGACCCCTGGGTCTGAGGGAGGAGGGGCTGGGGGCCTGGCCTCCTGGGTCTGAGGGAGGAGGACGCTGAGCCTGGACCCCTGGGTCTGAGGGAGAAGGACGCTGAGCCTGGACCCCTGGGTCTGAGGGAGGAGGGGCTGGGGGCCAGGACCCCTGGGTCTGAGGGAGGAGGGGCTGGGGGCCTGGACCCCTGGGCTTGAGGGAGGAGGGGCTGGGGGCCTGGACCCCTGGGTCTGAGGGAGGGTCTGATGGTAGTCTGGGTGGGGTAAGAGGCTGGGCGCCCCAGGGGCTATTCCCGCTGAGGAGGGGACAGCTCCGTGGCTGAGTCCCTACACAACACAGTTGTACTGGGCAGGGAGGGATGTCTCTCCCAGGGAAGGGTGGGAGTCAGGCCTGGGGCCCCTGGGGCTCTTCTCACCGTTGTCAACAAGGATCAGCGTTTCTTGGCAGCCCCAGCCCTTCTCGCACACCTCGTGTTTAGCCATCCATCGAGGGGGCATCTCCGATACATTACTCAGGAGCTCAAGTGTCCCGCTCTGACAGGTCAGGTTCTGCGCTCCTGAGATGAGAAGAAAAATCCACTTGAGTCCATCCTTCAGGAAAACTCCCTCCCAGGTCAGGGTCCTCACTCACGGAGCAACATGAGGGTGGCGCCCAGGAGAGCCAGCTGCAGCGCAGGACTCATGGTCAGGACAGCTGCAGCTCTGGCTCCTTCTCTCTCTCCTGGGAGCCCAGCCCTTTTATATCTCCCCACACGGGGCCGCCAGGAAAGGGCGGGAGGGACGGCCTTGATACAGGAGGTCCTGGGCCACCCTCTGAATCTCACTGGGTAAGATATCCGGGTCCTCCCTCCTTCCCAGGACCCAGGGGTCCAGACACCCTGGCCCCCAGCAGTCAGAAACATCCGGGCCCCCAGGCCCAGCTGGTCCAGCCACTCAGCCCTCTTTCCTCCTGAGCCCGGTTCTAAGGCTGCCCACCCCCACCCTGTTTCAGGGTAGTTGGGGAAGGCAGTTTCCTCACGGAGACCTGGCCCCAGGTGGGGAAATAGCCCAAGTGCCTGTGAGGACATTGTTGGGTGGCTGTTGGCTACTCTCTGCTTCAACCTCTGCCCACCTCTGATTCTTGCTTCTCACTTCTTTCTTCTGTTGCTTACTTTTTTATTCCCTTCATCACGACTTTCCCTCATGCATTTCTGTCCCTCTGTTCTCCCCACTCCTGGCAATCCAGGCCCCATAGTCTCCACCTCCCCGCCACCGGCCTGGGCGCTGAAGTATGGCGAGGGGAGGGGCTGCAGCAGAAAGTAAATCTCTGTCCAAGACAGGATATTCCTTGACATTGACAAAGCCAAGTTTCTTTGCCAGAGAGAGAAGGGGACAGGGAATGTGCTGGAAATGCAGCTATTCAGGAAAACGGCATCAACACTGTGCCTTGTGACATTGACCTATTTCTTTTTTTTTTAATGTATCTCTCTTTTTTTTTAAATTTTAGAGAGAGAAAGAGAGAGTATGAGTAAAGGAGAGGGGATAGAAGGAGAGAGAGACAGAACCCCAACCAGGCTCCACGGGGAGCTCAATGCGAGGCTCAATCCCACGACCCTGGGATCACAACTGGAGACGAAATCAAGAGTCCTACACAACTAACTGAGCCACCAGGCGCCCCAACGTTGGCCTGTTTCTGTGGTATAAATAGTCCTGCCATGTTTGATTTCAAGCTACCAGTCATTTGACAACCGGCTGGCAACATTCTGAAATATTTAACAATAGGCTTTTGCAAGTCTATACAAACCAGCTCTAGCACACTGGGCAGGAGGGGGCTGGGGAAGAATAAGGGCGATCCAACTGACGGTGGGGGGCGGGGTATGAGGAAGAGGAAAGTGGGGGGAGCAGTAGCAGAGGAGAAAGAGATGAACGTGTAACTTGCGACTGTGTTTATTTTTGACATCTTCATACATTCTATTTCACTGTTTGCATTGCAAGTTTAAACTTTGCCGCAAGGGCAGAGCCACATTTCCCCATCTCCCAGTGCATCGAGACTACAAACAGGGCATATAGTGAGTGTTCAATAAATATTGATAGGCTAGGCGAATGAATGAATGAATGAATGCCCGGTGAAAGATGGCAGCAGAGCCATCACCACGTCTGTACAGGTGTGCACCATAGAAACCCCATCCCCTTCCCAATGAGTCACATTGTTGCTGTGGGAATAATGGCGCCCTCTGGAGAGGTGCATGGCCAGGGGAGGGGCAGAGAGCGAGGGAGACAGAGGATCCGAAGTGGGCTCCACGCGGAGAGTGGAGAGCCCAACGTAGGACTCAAACTCACAAACTGTGAGACCACGACCTGAGCTGAAGTTGGGCCCTTACCCGACTGAGCCACCCAGGCGCCCCCGTGAAGCTGTGTTTCTGGGGGAAGAGAAGGAAGGGTGGGCAAAGAGGCACGTAGGGTCCCACGTAGTCAATTCGATGTCTTGCTTTTGGTCAACAAATATTTACTGAAGCTGGACTCTGTGCCAGGCCCCATCCCAGTTGCTGGGGATTCAGGAAAAACAACAAGAATGAGGCCCAGCTTCTGCTGAGCTCACATCAGATGGAGAGAGACAGACACAGAGCAAACACATGAGCACAAAACAAAAACAAAAACAAAAAAACAATGGTGCTGGGTGCTGGGCAGGGGAAGACGATGTGACGGGAAAGTTAAGTGAATGAACTGGGACCAGGGAAGCCCTCCAGGAGGAGGTGGCCTGTGAGCTGAGAGCAGGATGAAAAGAAAGAGCTTGCCATGGAAGACATGCGGGAAAGGCATTCCAGGCAGCGGCAAGAGCAGGTGCAAAGGCCCTGGGGTGGGCCCACCCCAGCTTACACAGGATTCAAAAGAAAGCAGGTGGCTAGGCTGGAGCAAGGAGGAGGTGATGGGTGTCGAGAGCGGCAAGCTGGCAGGGGCCTGGCAAGGTAGGATCGAGTCAGGATATGAAGGCAACCTTCCTGGGAGTCTTGTGTATTTCCAGTAGCAAATGCAAGGCTGGGCGTGGTGCTATTTAGCAAAAAGGCTTACAGTTTCGGGTGTGTGAAACTCTGTTTGCTACCCCGGATCTTGTTGCTGCCTGATTGTGTAGCCTTGGGCCGCTCACTTCCCCTCTCCCAATTGCTTCATCCTCTTCTGTACAATAAGGGTGATGATTATCTTCACCTCACAGGTTGTTCATAGATCTGGGACTTCATGAATGAAGGGGGAGGCTGGGTCCACTTGAGAAGGACCCTGCAATGCAACCATGGGTGTAGACAGTGACCATTTCCCTGTGCCAGTAAGACTGGAGGCCACGTATCTGGGGGAGCGGGGAGCGGGGCACTGGTCAAAGGCAAGTAAACGCTCAGATCTTGCAGGGATTATGTGGACGATGGCTCTGGGTGGCCGTTAATCCCTGCCACGAAGGAGGTCATCTCTCCTGCTCTGTCCTGTAATATAGTTCAGAGGGACCGTGATCATCTGATTTGCTCCAGAACATCACACTCACTCACTTTGTGGATGGATTTGTGTTACGGAATCAGACACAGTGAACAGAAGTAGCAAGCATCCTTGATGATTCAGTAAACAAGACAAGTGTACGCCAGAGGGTGGGAGATAAATGGCGCCACGTCCAGCAACCCCACCCATCATATTGGTGTAAACCCTAGGGCCCCATAGGTCCCGGGCACGTCCCCAAACAGTAGCCCCCCTGTAATCTGCGGAGGATTCATTCCAAAGCCCCCCTGGATGCCCGAATGCACGGTAGTTCCAAGCTCTCTATATACTCTTTCCTTCCTATCCATACATACCTATACTGAAGTTTAATTTTTTTTAAGTTTATTGATTTATTTTGAGGGAGGAGAAGGGTGCAGAGAGAGAGAGAATCTCTAGCAGGCTCTGCGCTGTCAGCCTGGAGCCCAACACGGGGCTCGAACCCACGAACCATGAGATCACGACCTGAGCCGAAATCAAGAGTCGGATACCCCACCGACTGAGCCGCCCGGGTGCCCCCACACTAAAGTTTAATTTATAAATGAGGTGCAATAGAGATGAACAACAATGACTCATGTTTAAATGGAGCTATCATAACCATATGCTGTAACAGAAGTTATGTGCAGGTGGTCTCCTCAAAATATCTTCCTGTACTGGGCTCGCCCTTCCTTGTGTGATGATGTGAGATGATAATATGCCCGCGTGATGAGTCAGGGGACTCAGACACAGTGTTAAGCTAGTACCGACCTCTGACCCTGGGTCAGAAGGGGGATCATCTGTTTCCAGACCACAGCTTGTGGCGGGTAACTGAAACCAGATGAGAGTGACTGCTGTGTTCCTTCTGAAACAACATGCTACACCTTACATGGCCGCCTTTAGAACAAACGTAGATCCCTTAAGATTGGGGGGGGGGGGGGCGGAAGTGTAGCATATTTTGACGTGTTACTCTTACTCACTTTTGAGAGAACCCACAAGACTGCCAGTTTTGAGTATATCCTAGAGTAGGGAGGGACTTGAATGAAAGTCATATGACCCAACAGACCCAATGTCATTGAAAAGTTTCTGCGACATAAAGAGATAAGAGGATGAGGGGCGCCTGGGTGGCTTAGTCGGTTAAGCTTCTGACTTTCGCTTAGGTCATTATCTCTCTGTTTTTGGGTTTGTGCCCCGTTTCTGGCTCTGTGCTGACTGCCAGCTCAGAGCCTGGAGCCTTTTTCAGAGTCTGTATCTCCCTCTCTCTCTGACCCTCCCCTGCTCACACTGTCTCTCTCTCTCCTAGAAATAAATAAAAATATTAAAAAAAAAAGAGAGAGATAAGAGGATGATAAGTGAGAAACTCGGGGTTTTGGAGCAAAGGTATGTATATCTCCTTTTGCGAATAACTATCCTCTGGTTTTAAAGCAGCTTCTGGCTTATTACTGTGTCCCCGGGGAGTCTGACTACTGGCCTACGGGACACCAAGGGCATTGTGACCTGCACTGCACATCACGTGCTGGGTGGTGTCTGAGCTACCAAACCGCGACCCCAGCCACACACGGCCCCAGCCACCATCCAGGAGAAAGGTGCGAATGGGAACGGGCTCTCACAGGCCGGAGGGCACAGGTGAGCGCCTCAGCAGGTGGGCGCAGACGCCCAGGGTACCTGCGTCTGCCGCCTCCCCCTCCACTCGCACCTGTGGGCTCATGAGGCTCTTCTGTGATCTGTTCACAGAGAAGGGATAGAACAGCCCGGGTTTACGGGCAGGTCTGTACGGTGGGCTGACCCCAGGCAGTGGGACGGGAGGCCCGCATCACGGAGCCCAGGGGAGGCCCCGGCCTCTCCATGCACGTGTGTCCCGATGACTGCTACAAGAGACTGCGCACCCCTCAGTTCTGAGCACCGCCACCCCCCCAAACATGCAGGTGCCCCAAGAGTTGAGCCAGCATTCCTCTCTGTGCTCAGATCTCTCTGGCTCGACTGGGAGCCTTGCGGACAGGGCCCAGATGTCACCGACACCAAGGTGTCCAGCCTCAGTGCACAGGGGCTGACTCAGGATGGGAAGTGAGTTCATGCAGGAATCCAAGGT